GTGTAAAACCATATATATATATATATATATATTTCCCTCTTTTTCTGTGAAATATTTTAATGACAAAGTTTGTTTCTAGTGGTAAAACACATGACAAAATTAATGCAATGTGATTGAACAGGCATGGTATAAAAAACCTCTGGGAAAGAAAACTTAGCTGGCATGCTGCAGGTACTTCTCAAGCAGGAGGGGCTGCTTTTCTAAAGAGGCTGTATTTATTATGGGTGGCTGGGTATCTGCATTCTGGCTCAGTTCCCTGTAGTAAGGAACTGACCACATTACTATTTGCAAACACAGGGTTCACTCAAGTGGTACTAAAAAGAGAAGAGGTGGGGCAAGCAGAGCTTTAAAAAGAAAAGAGGAGTCCGTCCAAGTTTGTATGTAAAAAGCAACTGTGCTTTGGAGAAGGACGGTACCTGGAGATCTCACTGCCTGTGCTCCACTGAGGGCTGTGCTGAACAGTTTTTCAAATTCACAGCTTTTAAGATTTAAGCAGCAACTTTACTTGTTGCAAGGAAATTCACAGTGATCCTTGAGAGCATTGCTTTTAAGCTGTGTTAAATTTGTAGCAAGAGTGCCAGGCATTTCATACTTGGCTTCCAAAAAAGAAAAAAAAAAGGAACAAGAGAGAAAAAAAAGCTGACGTGCGTGTGGAAGAAATCTCCCAGGAATTTCTTCAAGGTTATAGTCAGACACAGTAAGGGCTAAAGTGACAAGAAAAGCAAGGCAAAGATAAAACTTGGTATTGTGATAAGATGTCTGAGTGTAAAGTGGGAGATTGCAGAAACCTTTTGGGATTACACATGCTCATCTTGTCCTGGATATGACTGGATACAAGCTAGTTTTTCTCTAGTGACAATTCAAAACCCCTCAAGATTATGTTTCTCTTCCTTGTTGCTTTTTTGCCAGTGTTTTTTAAAATTGGTTTTGTCAGCCTCTCAGCTTTGCAGCACTGGAACTGTCCTAATGGATACAGATTAAAGACTGAAAACTCTGCTTGTGTAGGTAAGTTGCTGACCATTCACAGATTAAGAAAACTGCATTTCTGTTCTCTTAATTGAGCTTTATAATTGTCAAACAGTTTTTTTATTTTACAGATTGCTTGTGTGTTGTACTAGCAGATTTGATAAAGCAGCTTTTCAATATTTTTTGTTTCTCATAATAAACAGATCTTGTGTGTCAGTTTAACTATCAGAAAGCAGGATAAAGTTTTATACAATCATTAAGAGATCTGAACTGTTCTCTAGTTACCAGAATTCCTTGCCACAGCTTTAGTGTCCCTGTATTTTCAATACAGATGCACATGCATATTCGTGTTTCTATATATGTGAAATTTGTGTATAGATGTATTTTTGTATTTCTATATACATATAGAAAGAGTATTTTAATGATCATGTATTAGTATATACTTAGATGTTGGCTAAATAACTTTAAAAACAGCTTTCTGTGTTTATTGGTGCATGTAGGTATGTGTGCTAATATGTAATAATATGCGTCATACAGTACATGAATTGCAGGTATGTTTGATACTGTAGAACTGAAGTCTGGGTAAAATGTATGACACTAATATTAGTATAATCACCTACAGTGATCTGGATGTAAAATACAGTTTCTTATTCATTACAAAGTGTAAGACAAAGAACGACAGAACCCTTCTGCCGACCCTGTTACCTTGGATTCCAAGATTTTTTAGAATGCCAGAACCAGTGAAGTCATGGGCTTTGCAGTAAGGATATGAAGAAATGCTCTGAAAGGATTTAAGCAAACAGACCTAATACCTGGAGTTAATGCTTTTGCTTTAGGTTGCTTGAGTTTCAGAGGCTCTGACTCAGTTCTTGACATGATTCCAGTGATTTAATAACAGGTGCCTCCTCAGTGCATTCTGCCAAGAAATACTATCTTCTAATCAGAAAATAGAAGTATGTGTGTTACATGCTCTTGTATTGAGAAAGGGGGAGCTAGGCATTTTTTGTGTACAAATGATAAACCTGCCTGAAGTTTCAGTTGAGAGCTGAACACACCCAAGGTGCTTCCACACTGATGCTTGAGTTCAAATGAGGAGCATACTTCTGAAATGAATCTCCATTTTGCTACCTCTTCTTTGCTTGTCTTCACATTGTGGAGCGTTATCAAAGTGAACAAACTGGATTCCCTTTAGGACAACCTAAACCAGGTGTTCCTGTAGAGGAGCACCTATTCTCTCCACTGTTGATGGCTGTTTGACCCATGGAACCGGACTAGACCTGGTTCTCTGTAACCTCAACCGGAAATATATGCAGTGTGAATGTCATATCTTCAGCAGCTGTTGCACTTTACACAGCCTATCCTATAGGTACACATGATTTACTAATATAATATAGTTGTAGCTGCCACAAGCTAATTAGGATGTAGATTAGTTATGACTTCTACATTACTGGATTGCCCAATTAGGAGATCAGGTATAACAAGAGAATCCTACTGACATGAAGGGAGTTGCTTGGCTATTGTTTAATGAGTCAAAATGCACTCTAAATATTGACATTCAAAAGGTTGCAAAGATGTATTTTTTGTTTCGGTTGACATATCTCACGTATTGATGTAGATCACATTTCACATAGTGATGTACATCACTCTTCCATTAATGGAGACATAACCTGGCCTGCATTATGTCTTTTCTGTGGAAAATTAGATACATTCAGCTGCTGTAAGAATGTGGGAACTCTAGGTAAAGCACCAAAGCAGAATGGCCTGTAGGTCAGCAAACTCTGTGAGAAATAATAATAGAAGCATAAGCATAAGCGCTATTGTTACTGTGACATACTCTGAGCAATACCACATAACAGAATAAATGAAAAATGAGATGTGCTAGGGTACCTTTTTAATTAGAGACCACTGGATTACAGGGGATTTAGCAAAGGTGAAATTTTGACATGAAATGTAAGACTGAAGGACGTTTTGGTGGAATGGATTTCCCCTGTCCTTTCCTCTGTGTACTGGATACACAAGTTGTGTTCTGACCCGAGGACCGGATGTATATTTTAGTTCATTCATTATATGAGATAGGGGGTGCAGTGGAAGCAAGTGGTAGGAAACTGGAGGCAGGCTTTGAAGGTAATAATGGGGATAAAAGCAATGAGTGGGAGGCATGACTCATACCACTCAACTGTGAGCAATGGCAACAAGTTGAACTGTGGCTTGGCGACCATTCTGGGTGAGCTGTAATAAATATATCAATTGTAAAATGTCCTTTATAATCTGTGACCGTGGTGGCCTCCTGCCAGCCACAAGGACTACCCTGAATTAAGGAGGTGTCTGCTTTCTGTTGTGAACTATTACAAGTGACAATTACTGGAAAATGTGTAGGTTTTTTTAGATTTATTTTCCATACTGCCACTACAGATGAAGTCTAGGTTATTCTCTTCTTACATTGCTAAATAGCTTACTTCTTAATTAGTTACTTTTATTTCTAGGGATAGTCAAAAGACCAAAGACCTTCACATCCTGTGGAAGGATAATGAAATCTAACCCTAAATGTCTCACATAATTTTATACAGTTATTTTAAGAGAGTTTATTTGAATTGTGACTTGGTATGCCAAGAGAGGAGAGGTCATGTTCACAACAACAATAAGGTTTATAGGAGAGAAAGTATAGGAGATCACATTGTGAGGTCAGAACAAGACTAGTCTAGTGAATGAACATATGAATTTATTGGCAAGTTATGGTAGAATTGGAAGCATTTCTGTAATTTTTTATGTTGTCATCTTGATTTAATAGTTTATTTTAAGCTGATGGCAGGACTGGGGACTCAGTTACCTTTAAATATCTCATCTTTCTTAGACCCCAGTGAAAACATAGAACCTTCTACCTCTAAAGATAATGGTGTGGGCTACGCAGGAATTATTATTCCTGCAAAGTAAAAACATGTACATGTTGTTCCTGGGAGAGCTTTGATTTCTAACATATCTGACCATGTAAGCATAGATGATACACCAGGGGATAGGCCTGATGCCTGTTTGATAAAGTCACCTGTGCCCTCCTGAAGCACCGCTTTAAAGACACTACTTTTTATTCTCTCATTGTGTATAGATGGTTTCCCCACTGAAGACAAGAAAGTTTCCCACATGCCATTGTTTATCTGAAGAAGCCCCTAGAGCATCCCCTTGCACCATCAATTTTAGACTAGATACTTTAGTCTTGGGCTCCCCTAGGTAAATACTTTATGTTCTGGATGCTGCAAGCTCTACTAACTTCTGACATTAACTGATGAGACCTTGTCACTTATTCAGGACTAACATGCTGCACATTCCTACAGAGCTTCAGCCTGAAATTGAAGGTGACAACTGCAGCAATCTTGGTCAGCTCTTTTGGTCAGTTGCTTCTTTCTGTGTTTCAGACTTTCCTCCTTTCTTTCTTACTGTTCACTGCTCTCTTGCCATAGAGCACTGGTGATGTGGAATATTAAGTTATTTTTCTTTGTATTGTATCTTTAAATTCACCTCAATTAGCTAAATTCTGGCTTAACTTTGCTCCATACAGCCTTTTGAAGACAAACTGTTAAAACTTCTTATGTTGTATTCTGAGAAATAGGAAATGCCAAACCCTTATTAATTCACAGCTATCCTTTCTTTGCAAGCATGGCATAAAAAGCTGTAAAAGCCAATGAAATGAGGAATTGTGGTGTCTATCTATGTCGTGACATAGGGATAAACCTCTTGAGACTCCACTGTATCCCTCTGTATTTCAAAGGAACTGCAGTTGAGGCATGCTTGTTTCCTTGTTTTCAATAGCTGTCTTCCAGCTACCTCACTTTGTATTGTACCATCTTGGGGAAAGAGGCTTAAAAATATCGTTACCAAATAGTAGTCAAGAATTCCTGAACATGGATCTGAATCCACAGTCCAATACACAAGAAGTTTTCTATTGAGTTCTCTGGAAATTGGATCCAGCTGAATGTGGACAAATGCTACCTTTGGCTGTAAAATCTTAGAACAAAATAGAAAGGAGGTGAATATGTTACAAGAAATGACAGAAATGGTGTCACACATCACATGAAGCTTAATCCTGAAGAGGGCTAAGGGGCAGACTCTAGGATCAATGACTAATACTGCAAGACTTGTCATTGATTTTCTCAGTGGAAAATAGCAGATATTAATTTTGTGTTCTGTTTTGAATAAAACTGTCTACTTACTAATATCTAATTTGAAACCTGATTTTAAAGGTAGCTGAATGACAGTATTTGCTGATGCCTTTCAAAGAGGGCCAGATGACACCTTCATGAGCTTCATCTTTGAAAGACAAGCCAATAACTGCGTTGAAAGCTTCATGACCCAGGAAGTAGTTACTAATTTACACATAGAATGTATTTTGAAAACAATTCTTTTTCCATTCTAGTACCCAAACCTCTGAGATCTAAGTCCAAAAAAGTAGAAAACTAAAGATATTGTAGTTCCTTGAGATATTTTTTGCCATTGCTTTTCAAGATGTCTACAAGTGGTTTCTGAATTTTATTTCAATGCTAAATTTGGTTCTACTTTATACTTGATTAAATCATATGATTGCTCTTGCTGCCGTATCTGTCATATAATCATCTCTGTGGCTCTGGACTGGAAGAGTCCAGGAGTTGATAACCACCTTATTGTATTCACAGTGTATGTCTTACCATAAAATTTGAGCACTTCACAGCCTCTGACCTCTCAAAAATTGTGAGTGATCAAGCTGTTCATTAATCCTCATTTAAAATTAGAGATAGAAGATAACTTGCCTATTTTATTGTGACCTGCTGATAGATGGAGCATCTTTTTCCATTTATGGCTGTCTTCTGTTCTTAGAGATGTATGCTTTTAACAAAACAGATAAAAGGGATGGGCTACTTTCTTTGTATTCCAGATGAAATTTGATGTTCAACCTTTTTGAAAATATTACGGTGGTTGCTAGATATAGCAGATTGAATTAATACCCGGTCCAACTCCTCAGGAACCAAATTTGAGTGAGGTTATTTGAGTGCGTTTATCTGCACATGTATATTTTATGTATATAATGTATGTATTTGGGGCCATAATGAAATGCAAGCTGTGGCTCACTGTGGTTCTTCTGTATCCTTGCCAGGCATACTAATGCTTCACCTTCTGCAATCAGAACATTTCTCAGGACTCTCAATAAAGTAGCATATTTGTATGCAAAGTTATTGAGAGCTGCCAACATCATGATGACATGATTCATCGTTTTTGCTGATTCTCAAGGCATTTTCTGCATAAAGAAGCCTTTGAGAACTGAGCAGGACCTCATTCTTCCTTTCAGAGCTGGCTGTCAGGGCACTGCAGACAGCTTTTGTGTTCACTAAGCCGATTTCTTTCACAGGGTAAAGTTCCCACTGGGGGATGTGGTTGCCAGGAGACCTAAAACAGCTACAGCAGGATGCAACAGTGTGCTTTGCTTTGGCACTAATTGTGCAGGTGAAGGGACTGCTAGTTACACCTGATGGATGGGTTTATGATCGAGTTGTCCTAAACCTTAACAAACAGCCTTTTTTGTTTTGTTTTGTACTTTAAGCAATGAAGAAGGCATGTTAAACGTAGGGCCCTTTTCCATTGTTAGCACCATAAAAGCTGAATGTTCACAGCACTGTGATGTGTTTTACAATAGCTTTGTGTCTGTTGATGCTTCCTGTTCACCACTGGAAGGGGCATTCTCCGGTGGCCAAGCTGCCTGTCGCCACCGCACTCCTCATCTTTTATTAGGCAGTTATTCTTCCACTATAGCCTTTCTTCAGCTGGGGCAATTACTTGCTTTTCAGTATGTGTGGGATTTGCTTTATTATGTGAACTTTGGTGGTGATGAACATGGGCAGATTGATAACCTTGAAATCCTCTCTTCAAGCAGCATTACTGGGGAGGCAGTGTAAATTCTTGTAGCCTGATCAATCAGTATGCTCTTTCTTGGAGTCAGCTTTGTAAAGCTGGAAAATCCATCCTGTAAATAACAGGTCATTTTCCAGTTACCTTGTTACATAGCTCAGTAACCTGTGCTTGGTTAAAGCATGTCTTCCTAATCTGATCTTGACTGGAGAATATCCACTGATATCCACTGATGTTTTCCACACTTTCACAGTTTCTCTTGGTAGCTAGTTCCCTCAGTAAATCATACTTCCTGTTAACATATCAATTTAATGTCTGAATTTGATTTTCCTCACTTCAGTTCTCAGCCATCAATCCTTGCTAAATCTTTCCCGCAAAAGATTATAGTGGCCTCTAGAAAATCTGGTACTTTTTCTTTGTGAAAGTATTTATAATACTGTGATCAGTCCTTCTCCCAAGCTTCTTTCTGATAATCTAAGCAGACTGAGCTCTTTAAGTGTCTCGCAGAAAGGCACTTTTACTTACCCTCAAATCAGTTTTTTAATCCTTTTTGTATACACTTTCTAATTTTTCAAGATCCTTTAACAATCTGTATCTGAGAAATACAAACAGCATACCAATGTAGTCTGACCACTGCCCTATACAGGAGTAAAATTGTTTCTCCACTGTATTTCATTTCTCCTGTGTTTGTATGTATTGTGATTTGAATTTTCTTGCCCAGCAACATGCTAAGAGGTCAGCTTTCTGTCCAGTATGAACACAGATCCTTTTCAGAGTAAGCAGTCTTCCAGACACAATCTGTAGGTCAGGCCTATCTTATTCTCTTTTAAAGTGCTCCTTATTGTGGTTGAATGATACTTCTTTCATCAGTGTTTCACACTGCTTTATCAAATGCCCTCTACCTTTAACAATCTTACATCAACATAGCTGCCTTTATTGCCCATACTTGTGATTTCCTCAGAGAAATAACCAGTTTTATTATGCAAAGCACTATTTACATTAAAAAATATTTTTTATTTTCTCTTGAAAATCACTATTTTCATTGACTAACATGAGCTACATTATAGCCTTTATCAACAGACTTGCACCTGCTTTTGTACTGGTGACTAGATCAAATTAACTGTCCGGGTTAGTCAGCCAGTTACTCCATTTGAAAATCAGTGTATCAGGAAGAGATACAGACAGTGTTAATATCTGCAGACTCCTTCACGTCTGTGCTAATGCTGACAGCAGCTGTGACTATAAGCTGAAATCACCAAAGTCCTCTCGTATGGGTTATCAAAGAGCTTTCTAGTTTTGATGACATCCAGGCAATATTAGCCAGGAGTAGTTTTAAACTGGCAACTGGCTCATGGTTTCTGTCGCCCACTAACAAACTTCTAAGCCAGTCAAACTCTCTAGAGGGGATTTAGAGGAGTTACTACTTTAATGCTGTGGAGAATGGCATGTACATCCCTAGAACTTGTGGGAAAATATGCTCCTGAAAGCTGATTGTTTGGAGAAGAATGTGGGTTCGAAATTAGAATGCTTTATGGAATTAAGTTGCTAAAAATTCTTCTGCTATACCTTCATAATCTGTTCAACAGAAATCAGTTGCATGTGCTCTGATTACGTTTCATACATTGCCAAATTACTTCATCTGCTATGTGAAACATAACATCGTGGGAAAACTCTGAAAATAATATGAAAACATTTCCTAGTCTATATGGACATGTTAGGTGGCTGTAAAGCATTGACATTCTTTTTGAACAACTTCAATACATGACATAGAAGAAACCTCTAAACACTTCTGCTGCAGGTAGTTTTTTAGAGTGGTTAAAGGAGACAGTTTCCCAGACCCATGAGCTATCAGAGATCTGGTTGCTTAGCTTTCCCTAGGTTACTGAGAGATTAAGTTTCTTTCAAAGTGCTAGTGCCAGTTGGTTAAATTACTGTTCCTTGTAGTTATCATGAGGTGCCATTCCTGACCTTCTCTCAACTAGGAGAATCCTTGCAGATCTCCTGAAGCACTGTGATATTCTGCAAATGATTATCTAAGTTATCCAAGGAGAAGTTCTTCTGTTGCCCTGAATTCTTGTTCAGGAATGCAGAAAATAAAAATGTTGTGAGCAATACTTGAAATAACTCAATACATACATGTACTTTTGGTTATGAATTGATGTCCTTTAATGACCTAATCAAATCTGTCTCTTTCAAATAATTTGTGGTGGTATCTTTTTATTGCATGTGGAAATTCAGATGATAAAATCCAGAACAAAAACCATTGACAACAAATAGATCTTGGCCATGGAAAGAGCTGCTCCTTAGAGCAACCTTCACAGTAGTTATCCAAGAAATATACCAGGATATGGTACTGCCAGATGTCAAGTGCCTTGGGAAGTTACTATTAGATGCATTTGTTTTCAGTAGGAACTAAAATTTAACTAAATTTTCAGGGACAATCACCCATGGTACTGCTGAAAGGATTAATTTCTTCCCCCTTTAGTGTAAAATAATGCTCCTCAGTAGTGACTTTTTTGCCTCAAGCCCTGTTAAAACACTATAAATACATCAAATATCTTTTAATTCCTAAAGGCTCTAGCCTAATCTACCAGTTAAAAGCCAAGTTTCTACTTAGTTTGCTTGTTGCCTTGGTTTGGGCTTGCTGGTGTAGGAATATAGTTGGGTTTTTAGTGTTTTTGAGAGTTGACTTAAACCAAAAAGAACTTAATATGGAACTCGGTGCTGTGGCAGTCTGCTGCTTTGCTGTTTTGCAAAGTTTGATAATTTGTTGGCAATATTATTATTGTGGAAGCAGCTGCAGGCAGTATTTGCATAGCAAATGATAATGCAAATCACAGAAATGGAGTACAAGACAAGTCTGTTCTCTGTGTTTGGGCAGAGACCAAAGTACCCAGACACTAGGAAGAATGGTAATTTCTCTGGATAGTCTTCTAAAAAAATAGAATATATCACTGTGCATGTGATGATGGACCAAATAATAATTCTGAAACCAGTGCATGAAGCAATACAGCCATCCTTCTCTTCATTTTAATGTTGGGATATTGCATTTTATGATCAATTTAGTATTAGATAACTATGTCAAAGTGCATTTTTGCTCTTTGCTTTTGCTAGCTTGAATTTTCCTGACCTGTTGAAAATCATGTTTCAGATATCGATGAATGCCTTGAAGGAGGTTTGGGAACCTGTGGCCAAACCTGTATCAATGTTCCAGGGTCCTACATCTGCTCCTGTTTGCCTGGCTACACTTTGGATATTGACAAACGGTCTTGCTATGTGAATGGTAAGGTAATTTTCTTTCTTGATGACTGAAAAAGAGCTTTTGAGATTTATGTACCATTATTTTTCAAAGTGAACCATGCCTGGCAGATCCCTACTGGGCAGTGACTGAGGTGCGCTGGTTTGCTGAAGGAAAAACTTCCTCTTCTACTGTGTGGGTAAGCAGCAAGGCCAGATGTGGGTGCCACAGAAAAGTGATGGTGAAGAACGGAAAGTGTGGTGGTAGGAAGATGAATGAACACATGAAAGCAAACAAATAAAGCTAAACAGTGATTTCATATTTAGTAGACATACTCTGTACGCTCAGAACTGTAAACTCTCTTACCCTGTCCTTACTACTTCCAGAAAAACAGTACACAAGATTTTGCTACCTTTTCCTCTTTCAGTGTGTTGGCATTGATTTCTTTCCAGTGTGTTTGGGTTCTAGGAACAGTGCTTTGAAATCATAAGCAGGAAGCCCTTATTTTTGGTTTGGCGCATTGGTGGTATTCTGACCCAAGATGTAAGAGATGTACTTGAGTCCATGTGCATGTATCCTTTGGGATCATGAACATAACCAAAATTATTCTGTGCAGCTCACAAACCAGCACCAGCACAATTACTTCAGTCAGCTCCTAGACTCATTGTTACTGATAACACAACTTGACTAACAGCTTTTTTGTAGTCCTGCCTAAATATCCCTAGCCCCTTAAATAGAATTTTAATTTATTTTTTAATGGAATGTTTCATAAACTCTTCACTTCAGAACTGAAGAGAAATGAAAACAAACATGTTACCTCACAGTGTTATATGTGCACAGGTATCTTTCAAAGAACAATCCTACCTTAATATTGAGGGACTTCAACATTTTTAACATTATTATTAATATTTATAGCACCAGTAGAAAGTGAGTGATGGGTCAGCAGCTACTGTAATGGATAAGAGACCCTTATGGTGGGCATAAACCCTTCTGTGGGGCATACACCACATGAAATACCCTCATGTTTTAAAGACAGGAAGCTGTTTGATGCATGTGTTGTTTACCTGCTCATTAAACTTCTGATAAAATGAAGTCCCAAATCTGACAGGTGCCTCCGCAATCAAAGTTACATTTTTTTGATTCCCATTCCATTTACAGCCCTCACCTGAGAGGAAATTCAGAGAGTGAATAGGACTAAAGCAAAGTATATAAATGCTTTTAGTCAACTATTTGGCAAAAATACAGGCAGTACAGCAGTCAAATTCCTGAGATAAATCAACTTTGGTGCACTTCACCGTTCATTTGTCATTTACATAAAGCAAGTCTTCATAGTTTAAATATTCTCACATGGAATTGCTCAGTGCAAATTGGAGCAGAAAAAGAGAGTCACCAAAATCCTAGAAGCAGCTGTTATAACTGGGTGATAGCTTGAAAACTTGAGATACAAACCAGTCTGTTAGAATAGAAACAGTACTGCTCATCTTGCTTCTGAACAGAAGAAAATTGCATCTTGGGTGCTTGTCAGAACTTTCTGCCTAACTTGCTCTTCACTTGGAGAAATCAAAATTGGTCTCATTCTTCTGCTGTGAAAGATGTTGAAACAAAAAATCTTAGAACCATGATGAAGGTGGAAAATTTGTAGGCTAAAATTTGTGGAAGCTATGTCTGTTGGGTTTAATGGTTTTTATGCTACCTGATGATACTTAGTTAGAAACTCACAGAACTGTTCAATAAAACCAGTTTAATTTTCAAAAGTCTAAGTGCAAGAACGTTGATGATGGTGCATATTTGATGACATCCATCCCTGCTAAACGAAGAGTTGCTCTGCATTGCAGGAAGATCAATTCAACAGGAGAATAGACGTGCTTGAAAGCTGTCATTCTGCTGGATCTGTATCAGTAATTGCATTTCCAAGTCACTTGGTTAGAGCATTACTTGTATGTCATGACCTGTTGATTCAGACAACCATGCTATAAATCCCCACCATTATCACCACAATGGACATTCTACTTTGAATGTTGTTTTGGTAGTAAATTAAAGACTAGGCTGTATAATACCCTTTTTTTTTCTTAATTAGAAAGAAGACCCATTTCTTTTTAAAATGAGGGCTAAAATGTGACTGCATAAAAATTCCTTTTCTCTGCTACACATTTGATAGACATCAGTAATGTTAAAATTGTCTAAATGAAAACCATTGTGGTGTGGAAATGCAGTTAAGGTTCTTTGGGCGAGCTTAACCCTGCCCTATAGTGATACCCTAAAAATAACAAAGAGGACTTGATGAAACTGAATTAGTGTAATCTGCAGCTCCAACTGTTGTGTCCTACTCATTGTACTTCCATACTTATTAACTGTTTCTAAGGCTGCATTAAGGCTATTTGAACCATCCTAGTTGCCCATCACTTTCAATCTTAATTGTATTTCTAGACGTTGGAGCATAATTTCAATTATTTGTTCATAATTTTAAGTCCTTTTATTTTAGCATGTTTTATGTTAAGTTCCTGACACACTCTTACTCTCACTGAGTATGAGCACAGGTTTTATCTGGATAGAGTTCTTGTTGTTGAGCTGTGGGAGTTTTTAAGTACTGGTCTTTTGGTTTCCTTCAGCTCTCTGCATCACAAGAAATGCCCACAGTCTCTACCTTCTTCCTTTGCCCTGTCTTGGGATCTTCAACTTCCCTGTTTGGATAATTAAAGTGAGACCCCAGACCACCTGTCTGTGATAAATTCTTGCTATAACACAACAGCTGAAAGTGGTCTTCAACTTGGAGATACATCCATGGCATAATTCTTCCAACCTCTGTTGGCAAGCATGTGATGGTTCTTCTGAACTCTGAGCAGGCTGTAGAGTTTGAGCTTAGTGGTAATGCCCACTGCAATCTTGGACTTTTGACCTAGCTTTCAACATTAAATGCGAAAGGACCATTGCATTTATATCATACTGGTTTTCTGTGATATGCTTGGGAAGTTGTCATTAAAATATTGAGAGAGGTAGTTAGATCCTGAACTTTCTCTTTGGCTAGTATAATACTGATGAGAACTTAATGAAGCGAAAGTGCAACTCTTATCTATTAATTAGTCTCATTTTTGTTTTCTCCACACCAGACCCTGCACCATTCCTACTTTTCAGCCATGGAAGTGCCATCTTTAGAGTTGACACTGAAGGGACTAATCATGAGAGATTGGTGGCTGATACTGGTCAGTCAACGCTTATGGATTTTCATTACGCCGAAGAGAAAGTGTATTGGGTAGACTCTGAAAGGCGACTGTTTCAAAGAATTCACCTGAATGGCACAAAACAAGAGGTAAGAGACCCTGGTGGTGTTGAGAAAACGCGTAGATGTGGCACTTCATGATATGGTTTAGTGGGCATGGTGGTGTTAGGTTGACAATTGGACTTGATTTTAGAGGTTTTTTCCAACCTTTATGATTCTATGTAAAGTAAGCAATTTTCCGGAATTCTCCAAGTTAATGGGCATAAAACCTTCCCTGGAAACCACCTTCTCTTTAGGTACAATTCTGCTGTTCCTGTTCACTAATTAGCACTTCAGACTTATTAAAAGTTTTTTTGCTGTCGTAATAGTTATGATCCTGATTCTAGGCTGTTTTACTCACATTCACAGAGCATTTAGTATTTTCTGTAGATTGAGGGAAAGGGAGTTAAAAAGAAAGGAGAAGAAATTCAGACAAACTGAAGCTTTGAAGGCAATGTTTCTATCAGTTTAAATTAAACCCTGGCATTATGGAAGTTTGTCTTCCAGATTACTGTAACTCAGACTGGCACAAATGGTAAGACAAAGTGTTTGAATTCCTACTCATTTTTTCTAAAATCTTTTCTTGGTTTCTATGGTTGCATAAAGGCTTCTTTTGGCACTTCATCCTTTGTTCAGAAAAAGCTGTGCAGTTCACTGCATCGGGCTGATTAAGAAAGTCAGACAGGCTGTTGTGGCTGAACTTTAACACTGTGAGAGCCTTCTTTTACTTAAGAGGGATTGCCAGTGTTCCTCTACTCATGTAGAGTCTTCACTGATGTGTTTTTTGCTGATTTTTTAAGGATCAGGGTTTAGCAACAGTGACTTAGGAAGTCTTTCATCTGTAACAGTACAGGTCTGGGTGCTTTATTGTGTGCCAAATCAAGAAGTTGTAGCTAAAAGATTAGTCCAGTATATTTCTTATGGACAACAGTTTCCCCTTTTGCAGGAGGTCAGAATTTCAATTCAGAAGGAGTTTGTGTTAGTACAAAAACCAAAAGAAAATGATAAAAGAATAAGAAAAAGAACATCTACAGGTCTGAGAGAAAATGAAGTAGGTGAAGGGATGAAATGGGAAGCTTCAGTCTGGCACTCTATTCCTTATATTTGAAGTCAAGTTTAGGATAATCATTAGGATGCTTCTTGTTGTCAGCTTTTTGTTGTTGCTGTTTACAGAGACTATGTTATATAGACAAAGGCATTTCAGGATTTGCTATTGACTGGATAAATCAAGACATTCTCTGGGCCAATAGACAGAAAGCAACTATAGAAGCAACAGACATGAACGGGAAGAAACGACGAGTTCTTCTACGAGATGCTGGTCATCCCACAAGGATTACCATTGATGCTGAGCAAAGGTAATTTTGATTAGGTTAGTAATTTCATTGAAATGGACTCAAAACATGCGAAGTACTATGATTGCAGTTTATAGGCTGCTGGGCTAGTCTGTCCACAGTGTATTATCTATAATCCAATATGTTGAACTTTGACAAAAGAGGATAAAAGATTAATAAGCATATTGCAGATAAATAGAGAAGTGTGTGAGAAAAGCCCACCGAAGTCTAATGCAGAATTTATACCTCTTGGTCATCAGGGATCATGTTGCTAGTGAGGAAAGCTAGGAGAAAATAGGCATTGTTGGTCCTTTCTTAAAGAAAGCAAAGTTATAGGGCACAGGAAAGCAGGATTGGAGCAACAAGTGGAACGATGCCTGCAAATGCTGGGAGTACCTTGTGCTCCAATCCTGGCACGCTTAGAATATAAGTTGGTAAGTTTTCTAAAAAAAACAAACAGTTTACAGTAGGCAAAACTTAGTTTTGCTTCTGTTTCCATTGTGAATTGCTCTGAATATTGTTTCTGAATCAACCATTGCTACTTTGTGTCACTAGTAATTTGGCCTTCATAAAGATGCTTATTTCAGCTTCAAGTCTCTTAAACTGAGAACTGAGCGTACATAAAAGATTTGTCCTCCTCAAGAGCTGTCAACAGGAGTTGTTACAGTGGTCTCTCCATGCTAATTTATCTTTCCGCATGAACCTCTTCCATTAAAGTTGCAAAAATAAAAACTTGAGGAAACGTTGAGATGCTTCTGTTTCTTACAGCAAAAGCACATTTTTGTTTTTGGTTTGCAGTAAAGCTGTTCAGCAGCGTGTGAAACATTAAAACTTATGTATTAACATTAATACATTAACATTAAAACTTATGTATACTTTCCTAGTACATTGATAAAAACAAATCTTCTGATGCTAGTAGCATTACTAATAGTCTTTGGAGTTTTGTCATTTAGGTAGGATTTAAAGGCCTGAACATCAGCATTTCTTTTCTTCTGATTTCCTTTTGAATGTAGTATTTACCAGTCTTGGAAATATTCACAAGCCCTCCAACCCACTGTCAGATGCCATTGAAACATATTACAAATGGCATTATAGGGATGTATTTGCTAAACTTATGTGAAAGTTTGGGGAGACACAAGTGTGTATATTCACCTAGGTGTGATTCAGCAAACACAAAAGCTGTACTCATGTACTTGCAGGGAGGTCAATGTGCCAATAATAAACTGTAAAGACCGTAGACTCCGAGTAGTCTGACATAATTTTTATGCCCTGTGGCAATTTACTTGTCTGATAATTCTGAGGGCTCTATTTTTAGTGTGTAGTGAATTAAAACCCCCAGCATGTTCATGTGCACAGGCGTAAACCTGTGCTAAATCTGATACTAACAAAGTCTTTCTTCAGATGTGTGCAGCTCTTAAATAATGAAGGTCAATGTGATACCCTAATAATAGAGCTGTTCTCAAAAGATGTGTCTGGATATTAGCAGTGATAGGATTGTTTTAGTAGTAATTATATAACTATTGCTGTAAGATTGATATAATTTTTAATGGTGTTTAGAAATGATGAAAAATAAGGATTAAGACTAAAAAAGCAAATACATAGAAATAGAAATAGAAAATACAGAATAGAAAGCAAATACAGTAAAGGCTGGGAATGACTCAAGCCAGTTTCTAATCTTCATTTTTCTTCTGTCCTCCTGTTTATTCATATCATATTCTGTCACTACACTGTTTTGCAAAACTTGTGCATAGAGACTATAACCACCTTTGTTTCTTTGTTTCCTTATCTGTAAAAAGTCACTCCTAGCATTTGCCCAAACTTCCAGACTAGTGATGTTCCTTAAATAACAGATGCTATAGAAATACAATTAGATATTATTAAACTGTTTAAAAATAGTAGTATGAAATTGGGCTGTTCTTCTGGAAATATGTTTACACCTATCATAACTGCAAACTTTGTAGCAGGAAAAGCTGTGAGGCAGGGTCTGATTCTTCCTAGTGGTTTAGCATAGTCCCTATGATAACTTGCTATTTTGAAAGAACTGTTGTTAACCTTTGTAACATCAGGAAATCTGGGTTCTGATCCATTAATAACTTGACATATAGAAGTAGCTTCAGTGCATAACTGTTTTGAGTATTGAAGCTGTATTTTGACTGTGTCTTAATTTAATGACTGCGTAGTCTGGCTGCTATTACCAGTAGGGCATTAGAAAGAAATGAGAACAATAATAGAAATGATATTTTTAAGTTAAGCACTTAAGTGATGTGTTCAACTATAGTTTCTGGATATAGATTCCTCCCCAGAGGCAAAGGACAATGTGTATCTGTCTCAGAGATGTGCCTTTGCCCAAATTTGCAGAAGTTCCCTGTAGATTTAAGAGGTTATTCCAGCTTCTTTCTCTGACTGCATGGCCAAACAAAGCAGAGAGACAGACAATAGTGCTTCTTGGTTAAGCTGGGCTGATACCTGCTTGACCTACATGCGAGAAATTTCTAGTATCTCACTGCTTCCTGAGCAGAGTTATAGTCTCTGATAGAGACATATTTATTAAAATAAGTAAACAACTCTAAGAAAACTATAGTGGTAATATTGCTTCTGTTAGACAAGCTTTGCTGTCAAAAATTATTTCAATTTTAAATAGAACTATTTTAAGGAGAGATGTGTATGGGTTTTTTCTGAAATAGGTTAATATGTATTAAGGAAGTCCCTTGCTTTATTGCTGCTTCTGGTTCTGAAAGCACTGTGGTAAGACTGAAAAATTATCTATATAAGAGCAACTAAACAAGGAGTGTGTAGCAGTGATGTGATCTTGCAAATGGGGTTGGGGTTTTGGTCTTGTTTGTTTGCTGTCTGTTTGTTCTTAGAACATGCCTCTTTTACTTGCAGGTTATTATTTTGGTCTTCAGACAGTACAGTTTCGAGCATAAACCGAGTGTCCCTCAGTGGAAGTGCTGTGAGAAATGTTTTAAGAACCACATTAAAAATAAAGGCCATCTCTCTAGATTTGGTTGATACAAGGCTCTACTGGATCCAACATGAACACATGAAAGAGATTTCCCACATTGGATCATGCAACTATGATGGCGGAGCTGTTCGTTTGCTCAAAAATTCTGCCCAGTGAGTTTTCCTGAGCCTGTCAAAAATAAAACACTCCTTTCTCAGGGAAGCAGTTAAGGTCTCTCCCTCATTCTCCCTTTTATTTTGCCAGTTTGTAACACAATAAGGAGTATAAAGTGTAGTGCAAATGGCCTGTAACTGTAAAACTAAAACTACTGATAGGAAAATGGGAAAAAAAATTACTGTTGTAAGGATAATACTGCCACTCAGTACTTTCCATCCTCCAAGCTTTTAGCAAATGATAACTACTTAATCCTTAGAAATCCTCTCTGAGTGTTTATTAGTGGCCTTTTTCTGCAGATAGAGAAGCCAAAACCAAAGAGATTAAATGATTTGTCCAAGGTCACAGTGGGTGAGCTCAGGTGTCTGAGCTGTGCTCAAGAGACTGAGCTAGATCAGGTCCTTCCTATCCTCCTCTAAGCCTGTTGTCCTCTTAAGTCTTGGGTGGGGAGCCTTGGATAAAGCCCTGTGCTCAGGCTCACCAGCAAACATCAGCAGTTGTGGCGAAAACTGTTCTACACAACAGACTTGTTCCCCTCTACTTACCGGTGCCAGGGCTAAGAACAGCTGAGGGTGCCTTTAATGTTTAGCCTTCCTGCTCTGCAGTGGTACAGATGCTCCATGGTGGGCATGTTTTCAGTTGAGGTACTCAGGAAAAAGTTACTTTACATCACTGCAGTTTCTGTCAGTATGTCTGGAATACAAAGAAAGGTTATTTACAGTGAACTTGACTGAACTAGATGCTCAGAAAGTGCATGATTGAGTAAATATATAGGGATCAGGTAATGTGCCACTTTGTTATCTTCTTTTTGTTGTAGGCATCAATTGCTTGGTTTGTCTCTCTTTGCTGATCACCTGTACTATTCAGAGTTGAAATCCGGTATGATATGGAGAGCCAACAAGTATACTGGAAAGGTTGTAGTCACAATTAGCCTGAAGTCATTATTTTTTTCACCAGTGGAGATAAAAGTAGTGCATCCCTTTAAACAGCCAGGTACAAGAACAGATTCTCAAGATTTTGGTAAGTAAACTGTAATGATACAGTTTTATGTGTGAGAATAATGTCACGTACTCTGATTTTTCACAGTAATAATTTTCTTTGGCAACATTCCAGGTCTCAGTGAAGTCAAGGAAAAGGCTTCCTTTAATTTCAGTGATACACAGTTCCACTTGGTATGTGTGGCTACAGCTGGAGTATCAGGCTGGAAGTGTGCTGAACATGAACAGCTCATTTCAATCTGAATACATAGGCAGATAGATGTAATTTTCTCCTTTCCCCTTTGTTTACAGAAGTATGTTTTTATACTTTCCTGCTAAATGCACGAGGCACACAACTTTTTAATCTTCCATATAGATTATCTTCATCAAATGTCTTCTCCCTTCTGGAAGTTTTGTTCTAATGTGCGTCTCAACATCTCTGATTATTATGGCACTAAAGGATTTGAAGGGCACAGTATGTCCTGCAAGTGATACTGTTGATGTCTCAGCTTCATTGTGAAATGGCTGGATTGTCAGCTTGTTTTAGACAGACTTATTGCCATGATAACTATGAAATAAGTGTCTTGGGTCTCTTTAATTGCTATCAATTGCAGCCTACAGTATGAGGTGGTCATGTCACTGCCTTTCACTGTGGATCAGAAAATGAAGGTGGTTGACTGTGCATAGCTCACTCTCCTTGAGGAATCTTGCTGAGGCAGTAGGAAGTGGTGGGTGTCTGGGGGAAATCATGTCTTGTTCTCTGATCTCTGGAAAGCAGACACAAAGTATTCTTGCTGTAAAAGAATAGCTTTTGTCAGCAGTATTGCTTAGGTACGGACAAATCGGTAAACAGTATAGAGATATTTATGTGTCAAGCAATGGTTGCAGAACTCTGAAAGGAAGGTGGCCGTGGGTTTCCAGACGTACAGGTGTTATATAGACATGAGCAGAAAGTAGTGTTTGTTCATAAGAGCAAAAATGAAACTGTAAATATATCTCTTGAAGCATTTCCAAATATCTGCTATAAAGTAGGCTTTGTTTTCTTCATGCCAACCAATAGCTTTTTATGGTATCATGCTGCCTTTCCTTCCTGAAGCCTGGTCTGAGTGGGAAAATAAAAATCTTCAGGGGAACTTTCCCCTTCAAATGCTTTGTTTGCAGAAGATGTTAAGATGTAGGACAGAAAGTGTTCTTGGAAATCAAACTTATACTTGTAAAAACAGGGAGCCTCCATTCAGAGACAGTTCCTGTTCTGTGCTTCCTTCAAGGAAAACAGTTGTCCTGGCAAATGGAAGCACATTTTTCAGCTACCATGTTTGGTGCTTTCATGTAACTAGGGAAGGATACATTTGCTATGTAAACAGTGATATATCCACACATCTCAGGGTTGTTACAATGAGATTTCGAAGGTCTCATGAGGCCTTCTTAGGTGTTTGTCGCCATGTCTGCATACACATGAACATAGAGAGGAAGAAACAATAACCAAGAAAGTTAGTTCATGATAGTGCTCTCTTGAACCTCAGGGGCTATTGCTTGTGTTACATATGTCCTCTCTACAAGTGTGCAGCATAATTTTGTTGACTATTTGGGCACTGAGCTTTTATTCTTCTTTCAGAAGATTAACTCCACTTTTTCCACCAGGACATGCTGGTTTCCAGTGTTTCCACTGGGAAGAGTGTTTCCCCACCTTTATTAATAAAGAAACTACCAGTGTTTTTAGATGTCTTGTGGTATATAACCCTATATTTCCAGCATGTTTAGTAAATTTTTGTACAACATTAAGTATTGTCAGCAACAGACCTTTTTTTTTTTATTCCAAATGCCTTCTTGTAAAAACATCTGGGAAGTGATGGAGTAGAGAGAAGCTTAACAGGCTGAATCCAGATGAACCTTTTGGACTTTGCATGCACATTGCTTGGCTTATCCAGTGCAAGAACTGGGATGAAAGGAGGACTAATGAGCCTGGAGTACAAATGAGATTTATAGCTGATCTTACAACAGAGAAACCTGGAGATAAAAGCATACCTAGACTAATTGGATGCTCTGTAGAAGCCAAGAAAGTGTGCGTTGCAATGAAGCGTCAGCTGTGAATTATCAGGCCCTCTTTAAAGCAGATAGCAAGTGAGTTTCTTCAGAGGAAAAGGGAACAGATGAGACGTGCTCAACTGATATGATCTGATTTTTTTTTTACTGGAATTTAGATTATTTACTTTACTACTTAAATTCCTCATGTCCCCTTCCCTTTCTCTTTCAAAAGACTTTCCTGGATTGGTCAGGGCCAATAAGTACAGAGAAGAGTATTAATTCAGCTACAGGTTTGCTATAATCACACACAGTTGCTTTAGTATGGCAGTATCTGGAAGATGCCCTCTAATTTACTTCAGATCTCTTTGACAGCCGGTGCTAGATTTGATGACAATATATGTATTTATAAATAACTTCTGGAATGTTCGTCACACTTTTATCAATAGCTCATAAAATATCTTAATTCCTTAAAATCTCAAAGAATGCCTCTGGATTATTTTTTAAAGTATCTTCTCGGACAGATTAATGACATTCAGTACACTTGGAATATTTTTTGGAGGAATTATGTTGTGTTTCTTTCCAGTGTAATATATCAGCATCAGGCCATTATCTGAGAACAACAGATGAATTAGAAATAGCCCAAGAATATTTTTCACACATAAATTTCTTTCCCTGTGTGAGCCCGTGATTTTGTATATGTTACGCAGGCAACACGGGGCAAAGACAGTGTTGTGTAGGGGTGGCTGCATACCTGCATTCAGTAGCATCAGTTCAGCTATTCTTGGCTCGGGAAAGGGGCAAGCAACCCCAGAAGAAGATTAGGAAGATTAGAACAAAAATAATAGTTTGAGAGACAAAAATAAAACCATGAGTGTTGCATATCTGTGAAAGCACCAGCTCTAAAAGACAGCTGAGCACATCCACAAGGCTCTGCAAATCCTTCCCATGAAAAAAGATACTGGAATACCTGTTTGCCTTTTTCTGTGAAGGCTTCTGGGGATCTGTTTGGTGCTTTTTTTTCTGCTTCCTTTGAAGAAACTTTAAGTATATCTTACACATCAGAAACATGCTGGGTTTAAATCTGAGTTCAAGATTTCTAATGCTTGTATTTCTCATAGTCAGAAAACAGGATCCATTCTGGTACAAAGATTCTCTAGAATGTGCTAATAATGTTTGTCCAAGTGAAAAGGATGGTCATTATAATTTGTCCAGCTATTTTTTTGTTAAACAATGTGAGACTTAAGCACTGGTTTGTGCTAATAATTTCCAGTCATTGTATGCTCTCTCTCTTTTTTTAATCTCCGTTCTCTCAATTTTTGCATGTGTGCTCTCTCTCTTTCATTCTCCTCTTTCTGAGTGTTTTACAAAGCCTGGTAAAATATAATACTGTGCAGGACTGGCAGCATATGATGCCTGCTACACAGAGTTTTCCCTTTCATAGCTCCTATAGGTACGGACCCACACCAAACCATCCCCTACTTTGTGGTCTTTCTAGATCTGCTTGTGCTGACATGGAGCTGGAAATGGTCGTTTGCACAGACATACTCTTAGTCTTTCAAGTACCTTTATTTTTATAGTGACTTTTTGGCCTGATTTTACCAATAGAAAAGAATAGAAGTTATTTTCTATTAACAAGAAGAGCCTTGGGTTGAGCAAGTAGCTGTTGAGAAGAAGACACATCACTGACCATCTTTGCTCAAAGCAGTTTCTCCTTGAAGGTTAATATGGTAAGAACTCCATTACATTTACTCTGTATTTGTTCTTCCAGAAAAAGGAACCTGTGATTTGAACAAAGAAAAGTGTAGAAGAAGAATTTGCAGGCCAGACTCAAGGACTCATCGGTGTAAATGTTCTAGTGGCTTTATTTTAAGTAGAAATAAACAGTTTTGTGAAGGTAATGTGTGAATCTCTCTTCAGCTTTATTCCACCAGATGAAAAAATTCCTCTCTTCTTTTACTTTATTCATTTCTTGAGTGTGAAAAAACACTCTGAGGTCTTAAAAATTCCTGTTGAAGCATTTCAGTTTTGTGTCCTTCAAGGTTCTGAAATAGTCTAAAAGGAGACCTATGAAAGTGTCACAAGTACTATTCTTAGCCTGAATAGTTAAAGGAGCTTTGGATAAGTAGACAAGCTTATGGGTGCTTATTTATTTTTTTAATAAAAATTAAAACCAATACATCACCAAAGGTGAAACATTGAAAAATCCTACAAAAAGATGGCTGTCTATAGCCCTACTATCAAAAAGGACAGATTTTTAACATGCCTCTAAATGTTTTCATCTGCTTTGTTTCAATGAAAAATTAACATTACTGCTAATAATAGTTAATGTTTAACTTTTAGAAGTATATTTTTCACTACATGACCAAGGCATCAGAATCCCTAGCTTACAGGATTTACAGACCTTCCTGAGCAGCAGCCATCCAATTCTCAGGAAATTCAGCAGG